AAAATAATTCCCCGGCAACGGCGCCAAAATTTGGTCGTGCTGTCGTAGGCACCCAAATTAACCTTGCTTGGATATATGTAGTAGCGTGAGCAAGGATCGTATCCACGAGGATTAATTTAATTAAATGACTGTAACTATGTGATTAAAATGGGGAGAATTGGTTTTTAATCCTAATTATCTAATTAACAAGAAAATAAAGAAAGCAATAGTAAACAGTTCTTGAACAAGAGATTCGCAAGCAACAGCAAAGATGAAGATGAAAAATATTACCAAAGTGCTCCGGTTGAACTGATTTCCACCCCGAATTATTCTACTGATCCTCGATGCAAATATTATCAATTCATAAATACGTAGATGCCGTTGAATGATGAATTCTGACTCCTAAATTGGCTGTGCAAAATAAATCCTTCTACACAACCCTTATTACCAGGCAATTCCCAACATCGTGTAAAATTATCCTAGCAATAGCATTAAGAAGTAGAGCCCGACAACACAAGCAACAAATAACTAATCCGTTAGATGCTAACTTGTATAGCTATTTTGCCTAAGAATGATACCGCCTAAATCTGGTCAATCACCACACTTAGATGCTTCTTACGATAGATAAATTATTTAAATCCGACTCAATATCTACCAAGCAATAGATTAAGTGCACAAGACAATAGTTGATCAGGCTACGATCCTAACACAAAATCATAAACATAAACACACAAAACAATTAATACAAAATATGAATTAATAGATAAAAACTAATTAGATCTCACAGTATTAAGTTCGGGGTTTCAATCGTGTTCAACCAAAGCAAAAGAGAATTAGCCGCGCAGGGCTTCCATAAATTCTAGCAAAAGAGTAAGAGAAATAATGAGAAAAGAGAAGTGAGAATTCTTAAGGTTGATGATCGCGTGATCTTCTTCTGCTCCTTGCGGCTCTTCTGTTCCGTGCAGTCTAGGTTTCAAAATCTGACCTCTTAATTACGGCTGGACTTTTAATATTGCTATTGGGCTTAGTGTTAACAAGCCCATGTTAAGAACTGATACGCTGTGCACCTCCATGTATACTGACATGGCCATGTTCTACAAATATCAGCGCTGCCATGTTAGTTATATGTGCACCAAGTCGAGCTCATACGATCTAACTGCATTAAAATATCAACAATGATAGATTCTACTTGAAGACATATTATAAATTCAAAAACACGTCACTTAAGCACAAATATCCAATACAAACTCAATATTTTACTATAATAGAAACACATATTTTTGACTTATCAATTTTCCTGGGAAATGGATTTGTGTATGCAGATTTTGAGTGCCTTTATAAATACTAATCAATAGACCATTATATTTTACTGTTTATACATAGTTGTTTTCATGTTGCTTCATAAATGTTATATTGTTGTTTTCTTGTTACTTATCTTGTTTTCATAGGTGTTTTCTTGTTACTTATCTTGTTTGTTGTTTTCATAATATATATTACTATTTTTTTAACTTACAATAACAAACATTTCTATTGCTTTTTAAATTGTTATGAATATGTATAAACAATTAATCAATTTTTATTTTTTTGTTATTTTTATTCTTAGACGTTCAAGATTGAAGAAGAAGTTGAAGAAGAAGAAGAGAAGAAAGAAGAAAAAACGTGAAAATAGAGATAGGAGAGAGAGAAGGAATAAAGAGAAAGAAATGAGAAAGAGTGATATAGCAGTTACTGATTTTAAATTTTGAATTGATTGTTTTATTTATAACTTCCGATCGTACCATTTTTGGAATTCTATCTATCCGAAGACTTCAATGGAATTCATTTTTATAAATGGAACTGTTATGTCTTTTAGCCCCCTCTTGCTAAGGATTTTTGGCACCAAATTGATTTCAAATTTCGAACACTCCAAGAAGCCCATTTTGGAAACCAAATTGTGTTAGCCCCTTAAATCATCAATTTCTCTATCAAAAGGAGCCCAAAAATCCGGCATCACCCTCCCTTATGTTGCCCCTTTTATTGCCTTTCAATTTGGTAAGTGTATTACTCATATTCCTCCTCTCCTTTCTCTTGAGAACCCTTGATTTATCAGATTTTTACAAGTCTTCTGTCTCCCCTCTCTCTCTCTCTCTCTCTCGAAAACATTCATCCAAGTTCCAAAGTTTGGAAGACAAAAATACCCACAAAACCCTCTCTAAAAAATCTGCCCTATCGTTGGCATTCCCAAGCAACCGAGGGACCCGAGCCGCACAGTCAAGAAGATCCGCGAAACGAGCAGCAGCGAGCCTAGTCGAAGAGAAACACAAGCGCGCCCAGCCGCGAGAGTAGCAGCCTGGACGCAAGGGAGACTGAAGGGTCCTTAGCGGGAGCCTGAAGCCTCATTGCCAACACACAACCGAGGAGACTTGGGAGAACACGAGCCGCAGCTGCGCCTTGCCGAGGAGCCGAGAGATTGGAGGCGAGCCTCCGACCGGGGTTGATCGTGGGATATCTGGAACATCCGTGTCAAAGCCGTTCATATCTGATCTCTCCCTTTTTAGATCCAAGAAGAAGGTAAAACTCTAAGCAATGTTGATGAATTCTTTTCCAAGAATTTTTGCTTAGCTTTAATTAAGAAAAATGAAGATTTATTTAGGTTTAATGTGTAGAGATTGGATCGAAGAAGCTTTGTTAAATCAAGAGAAAATTATATGGTTTATGTGAAAATGGCGAATTTAGAACTCCCATATGCCATGTTCTTTTGTTTGCCTAAGAAGACTTGAAATTATTTGAAATTTTGTGTTATTGTTGTGAGCCTTGAATCCTTCTGAAAGCCATGCTTAAAACCTCGTTGTTGGAACCATTAGAAATGTTGAAACCCTTGAAAATGCATGTTTTGGCCGAACTGAACCCAAGCCACCTTGGGTCGCACAGCACCACGAGAAAGTTGGCAGGTGTTGTGAGTCCGACCTCGTACGTGACCGAAGAGTGACGCGTTGCACGCGCCGCGCGCAAGCGTGCCGCTTCCACTGACGAGCGGGTCGCTGGCGTGCCGCGTCACAGTGTGCCGCATCGCAGGCGCCGAGTCTCAGCGGCCTTATCGCGGACACCGGATGTCCTCAATGTGTTGCAGTCGACCTAGCTCGCCCCGAGAGCCTAGACCCGTAGCACTTCTAGGAGCAAGCGCGCGCGTGCATCCCAGCGCCCTGCGTCCAGCAGGGCAAGCATGCGCGCAGCTTCTTTCGTGACAGTGCACGATGACCAAGCGCGCAGCTTCCCATGCTTCAGTGAGGTCCCCGTGGCAGAGACTTAGGTCTCCCCGCGATTAGGCACGCCGCAAGGCTGGGCCACGGCATATTGGACAGCGCCGGGCATATCGTCAGACAGCTCACAGGTGCCCCGCGCCACCCGCAGCCAGGCGACCAGTACCAGCATGGTTAGCCCGAGCCAGCGCATAGCCAGCGCCGGACCAGCGTGCCTAACCACGAGTCGTCGAACCATATTCGAGCTCCTAAACCCGTTTTGAGTCGGACCATATATTTTGGTCTCCTCGGTAGAAATAGAAAGGCTGGCCATCACTTGACCTAGGCTGGCCACTGAATGCTCAAGTCATTGCACCTCAGATAACCCTGCAATAGAAGCCTCGGCGACTAGGTCCCAGCTCATCATGGGGACCTGGACAGCTTCCAACACATGACCAAGAAAGGCAAAATTGTTTCAAATTCGTGGACGACCAACGGATTTAAAGTGGGTAAAACACTCATTTGGGAAATCTGCAAGATTGCCTAATCGTTCTACTTTCTTTTTGTCGATGGGCTGATAAGAAATGGATCCGGCTTGATGAATCGGAGCGCCCAGTTCCAACCCTAATCCGCTCCCAGAGGCATCAACTTTCCTCTTCTTTGATGACTCTTCATGTGGGCGGTCCATGAGTAACTTCCATTCGCCATCTTGAGGTGACGAAAATTGGTCACTCAGATCACCGCGACCCCCACGCGAGGATTCCCCCGGTGTAGAGTGTGACTCAACACGGCGCACCATGGCGGACTCGTTGCCATTTGTGTTTCTAGGCCGATTTTTTCTTCTACCACGACCAGTAGCCTTTCCACGAACGCAATTTGCACAATTCATCGCATCCGTAGAAAAATTGTGTTAGATTCTACAAGCAGTAAAGAGGTGACAGAAAATTTTCAGGAAAAACAATGGACTTCAAATTTTTTGTAAAGTAAGAAGTAAAGCAAAGAATGTCAAATATCCCCTTAATGAAGAGACGCCATGTTTCATAAAGAGTAATCTGGAATCTCAATCGACTCTTCACGATTCCCAAAATTGAAGTCATCATCGACAATTTTTGCAGAAGCCACGTCATCAATAGACATAAAACCAAGCACTTCATCTTCTGAACAAAACCCGCTTACAGAAGCTTAGATATGTGCTAAGCAATGACGACCTCAGAGGAACTGTTTGAATTCATTCCCTCCGAGATTGGAGGAGGTCTGTATGTTGATATTTGAGCTAAGCTAGCGAAATCCGCACTTTAATCCTGATCCCAGGTCGGCGGATGTGATACAGAGCTTAGGTCGGTAGATCGGTCCTAAGAACTAAACCGGTAAACACTATTCTGGCAGGAGGACCGACCTGAATGTGCAGTGGGCGAAAATAATAAAATAAGCACCGCATATGCCCAAACAATGATATATGGGAGGTCACCACGTTATCCCTGCAATCCTATCAAGCCTAGCTGGCTAGACTCTAGCGCCACATTAAATGCGCCCCATACTAATTTAATGCTTGATAGCGACCCTGTGAATAGTAACCACTGGTCCTTTACTATAGTAGCGTACGAGAAATCTCGTAAAAAACTGCTGCAATTTTGGTGAATAACAAAGACTAATAGATACTTCATTTAATATTACCTCATCTAATAGATACTGATGACCATCCTGGCCCTCAGTTTATTTCTTAAACGTCTATGTATTTTATCGGTTTTCCTGTCCATCGCCTTTTTATTCTCTCAATAAAACACGCCAATTTTCTTAATCCAATCACGTTAAATCTGCACCAAATATAATTAACTCGTTGATAAAAAAAACGCTGATCAACAGAGCCCTTACAGATCAGTTAGATATGAAGTAATTTTTTGAATTTTAATTATTCCTTTTTAGGAATATAGACATCAAATCAAGAAATCATTATCTGGATTTCAATAATTAGTTTAAATTGAATTTTTAAATAAAATTAATAATAAATTATAAAACATAATAAAAAATAAAAATTACAGTACATAACATAAAAAATAATAATTCATAAGGATCATAATCTCGAGTTTGGGTCACGCCCGAGTTTGGGTCAACCATTGGGGCAGAAGAGGATTCATAACCTCGATCAACCCTAGTTCGAAGAAGCTTGGCCTCGTCAGAGTCAGGTTTGGCCACAAGCTGTTCGAGGTCATTTTCAAGTTGATGGCGGCGAGCATTCACCTGAAGAATCAGCCGGAAGTCCTCCAAACTCAGAGCATCACTCTCCATGCGACGGAGAAACCAACAAATATTAATGGCAGTGCACGCATCCATATCTGCTTCAAATTTTTGCTTTGCTTGAAATTCCGAGTAGTTAAGCGGCCAATTGCCTTTAGCAGGAGCATCTTTCCCTTTATCGACTTGAGTAGACAGGTCGGCAATATTTCCCTTAAGCTCATCATTTTTCTTTTGGAGTGCCTTACGGCCCCGGATGTACGACCCCGTGTCTCGAATGTACTTCTTCCGACGAGATTCAAAAGCATCGTGAGATTCACCAACCTGGGCAGTCAACTTCGTCACCTCGGATTCTAATCAAGCAGTTTCCGACTTCAGTTTAATGTTTCACCGGATAGCATGTCGCACTGCTTCTCAATCTCCAAACTATTCTTCAATTTTTCCTTCAAAGAGGCAATCTGGGCATCACAAATGTCATGTTGATCTTTGAGTTGGTATAACCCAATTCCCGCTTGCGAGCCTCCTCGGCAGATATAGAAAGGCTTTCAATCAATCGACCTAGGTTAGCCATTGAATGCTCAAGCCGTTGCACCTCAGAATTCCCTGCAATGGAAGCCTCGACGGCCGAGTCCTAGCTCATCATGGGGACCTGGGCAGCTTCCAACACATGACCAAGAAATGTGAAATTGTTTAGAATTGGTGGACGGGCAACGAATTTAAAGTGAGTAAACCACTCATCTGGGAAATCTGCAAGATTGCCCAATTGTCTACTTTATTTTTGTCGATGGGAAGATAGGAAAAGGTTCCGGCTTGATGAATTGGAGCGCCTAGTTAGAGCATCTCCAATGTTATAGCTTTGAAAGACAATGATTTTTAACACATGTCAATCAATAATTGTAATGTTAATCTATGTAGGAATAATGTTAAAAGAGTTGAAATTTGAATCAAACTAGTATCTCCAATGCATCAATTTGATAACAAGTTTTTGTATATGTGGACCAATTAAAATAATCATTAATACAAGAACAATAAAAAATTAAATCAAATATAAAGTGAATTAATTAGTCACCATGTTTAACACGGTGTTAGATATTAGAAAGTGTGTTCAACATTGTTAACATTAAATGTTATCCACCTCATCATGAAAGAGGTCATAACAAGATGCATTGGAGAATAAATTAATAATATACTTTCAAAATTTGATGATATGGATGAATTTTTATGAAGTCAAAAGCTACATTGGAGATGCTCTTACAGCCCTAATCTGCTCCCAAAGGCGTCAACGGTCAACCTTCCTCTTCTTTGATGACTCTGCATGTGGTCGGTCCATGAGTAACTTCCATTCGCCATCGTGAAATGACGACAACTAATCACTCCGATCACCGCGACCCCCACACGAGGATCTCCCCTGTGTAGGGTGTGACTCAACGCGGCGCACCATGACAAACTCGTTGCCAGTTGTGTTTCTAGGCAAATTCTGGCCTCTACCACGACCAGTAGCCTTACCACGAACGTAATTTGCACAATTCATCGTATCCGTAGAAAAATTGCGCCAGATTCTACAAGCAGTAAAGAGGCGACAAAAAAAGAGTGTCAAATATCCCCCTAATGAAGAGACGCCATGTTTCGTAAAGAGTAATCTAGAATCTCAATCGACTCTTCACGATTTCCAGAAATGAAGTCACGAATTCTAACACTCGAGGAGCGATAAGTCAGGGTGCCCTGGTAAATAAACAAGCAGACGCCAACTCCCAGTGCTTTCTCTTTTCTCTTTTTCAAAACTTCCAAATTAATAGGAAGGAAGCTTAATTCGGAATAGATCAGAATTTGTCTTATATGATCGATCGATATAACCATCAACGACTACGAATTGGATTAGTTTCCCCTCAACAAATAAGTGTTTGGGCCACTGAGCATGCTTGGATATAAAATTCTTTTTGTTTTGATTGGATTTTTTTATTTGAGTTGGTTAAATTTGAAAAAGTTGGTATGGTTAGTTGTTAGTGGTTAAATTAAAATAATATTTGAAATAAAATGATTAAAATTAATTTGATGTAAAAGTAAGAGAGAGAAGATATGATGTGATGGTTAGTTAAAATTATGTGAGTTGATGAATAGTGAATTAAGGTTGATGTTGTGTGTAAGAATGATTGATTGATATTATTTAATTATATTGATAAAATTAATGATAGTAGGGTTGAGTTAAAGTTCAGTTAAAAAAATGATTGAGTTCAAAATGATTGGATTTTTTGGATTGATTTTATATCCAAGCATGCTCTAAAATCCTGCCTAATGGAGAGGTAGTTGGAGAGGTGACAAAACCCTATTGTTTTCATTATAAAATCAATCAACCAGAAAAAGATGGATTATTTTGTGAAAGAATTTTTGGGCCTATCAAAAGTGGAATTTTTGCTTGTGGCAAGTATCGAGAAATCGGAGATGAAAAAGTAGACCCGAAATTTTGTGAACAATGTCGGGTCGAATTTGTTGATTCTCGGATACGAAGATATCAAATGGGCTAAATCAAACTCGCATGCCCATTAACCCACGTGTGGTATTTTGAAACGTCTTCCTAGTTATATTGCGAATCTGTTAGATAAACCCCTTAAAGAATTAGAAGACCTAGTATACTGTGATGTGTGATTTGATCCAAATTTTGATTTTACAGATTCCGAGTGAGAAACTGTCATCCCAGTCAATCCAATTGGGGTGCCTTCCATTTGACATGCCACTTGGTAAGTGTACCATGAAGCTCAGAATTGGGGGTGTAGTCAATACTCCCCAAGCAAAAAGGGAATTGGTCTATGGTTGATTTTGAAACCAGAAAAAATTTGAGATTTCTACCTCGTAAAAAAAGAATTTTTTGTTTTATGAAATTAATCATTTATTTTCTTTTGGAAAGAAATTATGTTCAAGCAGACAAATATGTCATGGTGACGGGAGTCTATCCATCGTGATAGGCTTTAAGTTAAGGGCTTCATGGCCTAACCATCGGGGGGAAGTCGGGACCTAAGAGATCGAGTGGAACAATACATAGAGAAATAAAGCCCTTAGGAATTCCAAGGTACTTCTTTATTTTCGATTTTTATTATTTAACATTAATTAATTCGAATTAGGAATTAAGAGATTCATCATTCGAAGGGAAGTAGACTACTCAAGAATTTCACATTTCATTTAGGGTTTAATGCACCAAATCCCCCTGTATTATACTAAATCTGCGCGTTTCCCCCTTGTATTTTAAAAATTGCATCAGACCCCCTTCTAAAGGTTTTGCATGCGCGAAACACCCTAAACCGTCTAAGATGACGGAAGTGGCGTGCACGCGCGTGCTGTGCGGCTTTTTTTCATTTTTTCACCCCAAAGTGGCGGAACTTACTGTTTTACTCTTGAATTATGTGCAAAACCTAAATGATATGAAATGTGGGCAACAAGATTCGAACCAGGGTTGGAAAAGAAGGGAATGACAGCTCAACCACTAGGCCATATGGATGGATGTGTAATCTATTGAACATAAATATATCTATACATCATACTGAAATGAATTAAATAGTTTAAAAATAAGTAAATAAATAAAATAAAAGGATAATATGTCAATTTACTATAAGTTAAATAATTAATAATAATAATACTAATAATTTCCAATAAATTAAATTAACTTAAAATAATGAAAAAAAATAAATTAAAATAAGGTAAGATAAAATTTAATATATTAGCGTGAATTAAAATTAAATAAAGTTATAATTAAATAAATTTTAAATGATAAAAATAAATACAAAAATGAAATTAATAAATAAATAAAATTAAAATAAACTAATTAAAGAAAAATAAAAATAATAATTATATAAGATAATAAAGTATAAAAATTATAAAGTAAAATAAATAATAAATCAAATATCTTATTATGAAATAATAAATTAAATAAATAAAGAACTGAAATTAATATAATATAATATAATAAAAAATATTATTTATCAAATAATTTTAATATGATTTACTCTTAATAAATATATTACTATATAATATAAAAAGAAAATGATAATTTCATTTTAATAAATTAATAATATAAATGTAAAATAAATTATAGTATAAAATTTCAATATACGTTTTAATGAATTTACGTAATATAATATGTATAAATTATATTAAATATAATTTATAATAAAATTAAATGATTAATTTAAATAATTAAATTTATAATAAAATTAAATGATAAATTAAATTAAATTAAATTTGTAATAAAATTAAATGATACTTATATATATAATATATTATTAAAGTATAATTTCGAAAATAAAATATTTTTTATTAAATAGCTATATATGATTTGTATTTATTTATTTTAATTATTTTTATACTATTTAATATTTTTTAAAATCTTTTATAAATATATAGATTTACTTAATTATTATATTATTTATTATTTAACTACAATTTTTTTATATTTATTTATATTTTATTTTAATTTTTTTTCGTTTAACATAATAAGTTATTTAAATTATTTTTTTTGTTTAATTTTATATAATTTAATTTATTATATTTGAATTATCATAACTTCATATTTTAATAATTTAATTTAATATAATTTATACATTCTAAATTTAATTTCACTTATCCATAATGATATCCATATATATCAAGCATTCCTAGTTCTAACACTCAACCTTGAGTGGTGTAGTGGTTGCATTGTTTGTCTTGCTTCCATGAGGTACCGGTTCGAATTCTAAAAGTTGCAATTTTTTTTAATTAAATTTCTCGCGATATATTTAATATATCGCGATATATTTAATATATCGCTAATATATGTATAATATTCAGGGGGTATAACAAAACTTTTGAAGAAAAACTAACGCGGGAGAAATAGAGACAAGGGAGCGTGTACACCTGAAACCTTAATAGAAGGGGTCGCGCAATTTTTAAAATATAGGGGGAAACGCGTAGATTTAGTATAATACAGGGGTGTTTGGTGTATTAAACCCCATTTCATTTTTGTCGTAATTCAATAACGAATTAAGAAAATCGAAATAATTAGAATAAGAAAAATAAAAAGAAAGCGGAATTGATGAAATTTTCTTTGATCTTGACGGGAAACTTGGGTAAGGAGTAGTTTTAAGGTTTTATAGAATTTGAAAGCAAGAACTCCTTTCTGTACCTACTTGAGCCGAATGAAAGGAAACTTTCACGTCCGATTTTGAAGGGGGAGAGATCCTATAGGATGCTATCCCAATTTTGCTTTTGCTAGGCCCATAACAAAAAAATCCACTTTCTTTCGGTTACGAGGTTTATTCGAATATGAAATCCAATCTTGGAAATACATCATCCCACCCTTTTTTTACTACCCAAGGTTTCGATACATTTCGCAATCGAGAAATCTCTACCGATGCAGGTGTTATTCGAGAACAAATAGCCGATCTAGTTTACGCATTATTCTAGTTAATTCGTTGGTAGAATGGAAATAATTAGGAGAAGAGGGGCCCACGGGGAATGAATGGGAAGATCGATAGGTTGGAAGAAGTAAGGATTTTTTGCTTAGACGCATAGACTTGGCTAAACATTTTCTTCGAACAAATATAGAACCAGTATGGATGGTTTTGTGTCTATTACCAATTCTTCCTCCTGAGTTAAGACCTGCGATTCAGATAGAAGAGGGTAAATTTATGAGCTCGTATATTATTGACTCTATAGAAGAGTTATCTATCGGAACAATATTCTTACCGATCTATTAACAACAAGTAAATTTATGCAAGAAGAATTAGTAATGTCTCAGGAGAAGTTAATACAAGAAGCCATGGATACACTTCTTGATAATGAAATCCGGACGCAACCGATGAGGACAGTCATAATCAAGTTTACAAGTCATTTTCAGATGTAATTGAAGGAAAAGTGGAAAGATTTCGTAAGACTCTGCTTGGCAAACGGGTTGATTATTCAGGGCGTTCTGTCAATGTCGTAGGCCCTTCCGTTTCATCACATCAGTGTGGATTACCGCGCGAAATAGCAATCGAGCTTTTCCAGCCATTTGTAATTTATGGTCTAATTAGACAACATCTTGCTTCGAGCATAAGAGTTGCTAAAAGTTAAATTCAGGAAAAAGAACTGATTGTATGGGAAATACTTCATGGAATTATGCAGGGGCATCCTGTATTACTGAAAAGATCACCCACTCTGCATACATTGGGCATACAGGCATTCCAACCCGTTTCTTCTGAGTGAGTGGATTAGATAGGCCCGACTATATGTGTAGAACATGGATCTCTTCTTTTTATGCCGATGTATGCCTATCAACAAGGTTTTGATATCCTTATCCCTTGTGTCCGGGAATCCGATGTCGGGAAGTGCCACTGCAACCAAAGAATCTATTTTTGCTTCGTGAGAAAGGTCAATGTAATCTTTAGAAGTTCAGTCATAGAGTTTTGGAGAGGGAAGGTGTAATTGAGAAAGAGATGACCTAGTTTTCTCAATTACATGGAACTCAGCCTGCCTACCCTATACAGTTGGTCAAGGGAAGACCTACTATTGAAAGGCAAGGGAGAATGCAAGTGCTAGTGAAAGTAGGAACAAAAAGTGTGCCGACAAAGAGAAGTTTGCAGAATTTATAGCGTGTTGAAAAGCGATTCTAAAGGTGAATTAACCGAACAAGCGGAAACAAAAGGAATGAAAATCAAAATTTTAGGGGAAGATCGACGGTTTTTGCAGAAGTCACATCATCAATAGACATAAAACCAAACGCTTCATCTTCTGAACAGAACCCGCTTACAGAAGCTTAGGTATGTGCTAAGAAATGACGACCTCAGAGACACAATCTGAGTTCATTCCCTCAGAGCTCGGGGTCTTGTATGTTGATATCCGAGCTAAACAAGCAAAATCTGCACTTTAATTATGATCCCAAGTCGTCGGATGTGATACAGACCTTAGGTCGGCAAATCGGTCCTAATAATTAGACCGGTAAACATTATTCTGGCAGGAGGACCGGCCTAAATGTGCAGTGGGCGGAAATAATAAAATAAGCATCGCATGTTGATATTCATCATATTTTCATGCATTATGAGTGATATATTGTGATATTTGGCCCTAGTTATCGTGTGATTGTGCACCATTTCGTTTTATTTATTAAACTATGATAGAGGTGTTTTTGTCGTTGGTTTTGCAGGAAATATACCCGGAAAAGCGTTGAAAATGGAATCGGGACGAAAAACGGCAAAAACGGGTGCAGAAGAGGTCACACGACTCGTGTGGGTAGTGACACGGGTCGTGTGGGTTGAAGAAATAAGATACGCAGCTACGGCATTTTCACACGAGTCGTGTGGGTTGAGACACGAGTTGTGTCGCTTCACACGACTCGTGTGACCCGGTCGTGTGAGTGCTCGTGTGAGTCTGGGAGTTTGCCGAAAATCGGAGAAAAGTCACACGACTCGTGTGGCATGTGACACGACTCGTGTGGCATGTGACACGACTCGTGTGACGCGCAGCCCAGACCTGCGGGGAATAGGATTCTTGTGCGATTTCTTCCCTTTTTTGACCCAGAATTGCCCTACAGTATAAAAGAGGCCTTAGGAACTCATTTTTGGGACTTTTGACACCATTGGAGGCCTACAGAAAGCACGAAACACACGAGGGATTCGAGGAAGTCAAGATTGAAGATTCGGGAACAAACGGCGACAATAGTTCTTCTTTCTTTTCTCCTTTTCTTCTTCATTGAACTCATGAATATATTTATTTTGAGTTTTGAGATTATTTTAGTAGCTAAACCCTTTAGGATTCTAGGATTTGCGAGTACTCGGACTATTTTATGAAGTGATTTTGTTTATTCATTCCGGTTTATCATTCGTTTATCAATTTCTTGTGTTTTTATTAATTGTTTTTATCAATTTCGACGTGAAACGAACACAAAGGGAGTGCAAGCCGTAAATTAGAACAGGCCCAAGTACAATACTTACTGTTGGCAGCCCCATAACCATTACTGGCCCAATATATATGTCATAAAATCAGCCCAAGTGAACAAATAAAAGGGTATAGCCGTCATTTCGCAGAAAGAGATTGAACTCTTCTTCTCCAATTTCACGTTCACGCACAGGCTGTCCGCCATTGATGAGCTGCGACCAAGCTCTCAACTTGCCACTACGCCGCGGACAAACCACCGGAGACCACCGTGATGACCGAAGCCGCCATCCTGTTGCCGCAAAAACATCCTGAAGCCAGTAACCGCGCCGGAGATGTTGCTGTTGGAAGCTGCCGGAACTGGCCGGAAAAAGCCACAGCCACCCACCTACCTGTACGCATTTCGACAACTGGGACGCCTATCGACCACCTGGGACGCCGGAAACTCGACCAAGAGATGAAAAACGAGCTGAAAACGACGATTTGAGGTTGTTTTGAACTCCCAGGTACACACGGGTCGTGTGAGACCGAGACACGAGTCGTGTCGCTCTGACGAGTCGTGATAGCTGCTCTCGACTTTTCCACACGACGCGTGTGGCTTATGACACGAGTCGTGTGGCCCTGGACGCATCAGAATCGGATTTTGCGCGTTTTCTTATTTTTTTGGCTTTTTCGACCTATTTCGACTAGGACTCGACCTCAACTATATATACAACCCTTTGGACACGTTTTTGAGGAGTCTTGGACATAATTTTCACATCTTTGGAGACCATTGGAGGCGAGAAACACGAGCAAGACGAGGGAGAAAGCCGGGGAAGAAGAGATCGACGGAGCCGAATAAGCTTTTTCTTTCTTTTTCTTTTCCTCTTTCGAACTCAATCTTTTATATCTATTTTTCTTATTTTGAAATCATGTTTCTAGGCTAGATTTATCTTAGATTCTAGGATTTTTTAGTACTCGGATTGATTTATGATTTAGTTTTTATTTATTTCATTCCAGTTTATCTTTCGTTTATAAATTTCTTGTGCTTATTAATATTGTGTGAGTAGATGGCCACTATGAATGCATATTTGTGATCGATTTGAGACCGAGAGGAGATAATTGATTGCTAGAATTGGGAGATTTATAACGTAAGAGAATAAACAGACCGAGAGGTTGATAGGACCTTGCGAGAGAACGAAAATCCTAGGAACTTATGGAAGTTAGTTGTTCATCTTGAGACCGAGAGGAGATAGATAATATCTACGATTTGACTTGTTCGAGAGAAAGGTTTGAAATCAATTTAGTGATTATCTCTACGATTGGTAAAATTAAATAAGGTTTGTTTGAATATAAACGTTTCATGAATTAATTCCGAAGAAAGCATAACCTAGAATCTACCTTTTGTATCTTATTTTATTTTTATTTGTTTAGGTAAATTAGTTTTTAGTTTAATTCTTAGTTTATAATCATCATCCAATTCATTAGTCTAGATAATATTTAGTCGTCATTAATTTAGTACTTAATTAATTTAACTACAATCTCTGTGGAATACGACCTTGCTCGCCACTACCTATAGCTACGCCGTACACTTGCGGATAGCGAAAATAATTAGCGAACAAGTTTTTGTACATGCGTCATATTTACGTGCATTTTATAGTGATTTTCGTGTCCGTTTCGTCGTAGTTTGATATAAGATTAGTTATTATTTAATTAATTATTGTGTAAGTGATTATATATTTAATTAATTTTATTAAGCTATGACGAAGGTGTTTTATTTTGAGTTTTAACAGTAAATAGGGGGAGATTAATTTTTTGAGTCGAAAACGACGTGAAACGAACACAAAGGGAGTGCAAGCCGTAAATTAGAACAGGCCCAAGTACAATACTTACTGTTGGCAGCCCCATAACCATTACTGGCCCAATATATATGTCATAAAATCAGCCCAAGTGAACAAATAAAAGGGTATAGCCGTCATTTCGCAGAAAGAGATTGAACTCTTCTTCTCCAATTTCGCGTTCACGCACAGGCTGTCCGCCATTGATGAGCTGCGACCAAGCTCTCAACTTGCCACTACGCCGCGGACAAGCCACCGGAGACCACCGTGATGACCGAAGCCACCATCCTGTTGCCGGAAAAACATCCTGAAGCCAGTAACCGCGCCGGAGATGTTGCTGTTGGAAGCTGCCGGAACTGGCCGGAAAAAGCCACAGCTACCCACCTACCTGTACGCATTTCGACAACTGGGACGCCTGTCGACCACCTGGGACGCCAGAAACTCGACCAAGAGATGAAAAACGAGCTGAAAACGACGATTTGAGGCTGTTTTGAACTCCCAGATACACACGGGTCGTGTGAGCCCGAGACACGAGTCGTGTCGCTCTGACGAGTCGTGATAGCTGCTCTCGACTTTTCCACACGACTCGTGTGGCTTATGACACGAGTCGTTTGGCCCTGGACGCATCAGAATCGGATTTTGAGCGTTTTCCTATTTTTTCGACTTTTTCGACCTATTTCGACTAGGACTCGATCTCAACTATATATACAACCCTTTGGACACGTTTTTGAGGAGTCTTGGACATAATTTTCACATCTTTGGAGAACTTTAGAGGCGAGAAACACGAGCAAGACGAGGGAGAAAGCCAGGGAAGAAGAGATCGACGGAGCCGAATAAGCTTTTTCTTTCTTTTTCTTTTCCTCTTTCGAACTCAATCTTTTTATATCTATTTTTCTTATTTTGAAATCATGTTTCTAGGCTAGATTTATCTTAGATTCTAGGATTTGTTAGTACTCGGATTGATTTATGATTTAGTTTTTATTTATTTCATTCCGATTTATCTTTCGTTTATAAATTTCTTGTGCTTATTAATATTGTGTGAGTAGATGGCCACTATGAATGCATATTTGTGATCGATTTGAGACCGAGAGGAGATAATTGATTGCTAGAATTGGGAGATTTATAACGTAAGAGAATAAACAGACCGAGAGGTTGATAGGACCTTGCGAGAGAACGAAAATCCTAGGAACTTATGGGAGTTAGTTGTTCATCTTGAGACCGAGAGGAGATAGATACAATTAATATCTACGATTTGACTTGTTCGAGAGAAAGGTTTGAAATCAATTTAGTGATTATCTCTACGATTGGTAAAATTAAATAAGGTTTGTTTGAATATAAACGTTTCATGAATTAATTCCGAGGAAAGCATAACCTAGAATCTACCTTTTGTATCTTATTTTATTTTTATTTGTTTAGGTAAATTAGTTTTTAGTTTAATTCTTAGTTTATAATCATCATCCAATTCATTAGTCTAGATAATATTTAGTCGTCATTATTTTAGTACTTAATTAATTTAAC